TTTCACCGCTGTGCACCCAACGACCTACTCCTACTTATGGGGAGGGAGGCCCATGAATCAGGTTGTGCAGAACCCATCACTGCAGTCCTACTCATTTGTTAGCGGAGTCGCAGTTGTATTTGAGAGAGCTGCGGAGAATTTTTTCGATCGTTGTTTTTTTCGCCATTTATTCATCCCGCTTCCTCTTTCGATGACATAGATGGCGGTCTTTGGGGGAATTTCAGTGAAAGTTTTTTGGAAAATTCGTAGGGTGTTGAATGAATTTTGTAAGATCGTAGGTACGCTGTGACAAATGGGATCATGTTAGAGGATTTCGGTGGATCGTACAAAAGCTGCAATTCCACCCTCCGCGATACCTGGTACGAATCTGTTGTCAGCTAGCGGTATCATGGGGGAAACCAGTCGTGCAGTAAATGGGGACGGCTAGTATGGAACTCCTTTAGCAGTTGTGGGAGTCAAACAGGTCAGTAAAGTTAAAAGGAAGTTTAAGTCGTTTTAGGCTCTCGCCTAAAACGACTTGCCCAACTAATCTATAGGAGGTGTCTGAAGTGGGGGCATTTTGCGCTTCCGCTGGTTCAGTTCCGGTTTACAAGTCTGAGTGTGGTGAGACCTGGGAACTCTTGTGGAGCTGGAGCACGCTTATCGAGCCACCATTCCAAAACCTATCTTGTAAGCTCGTGAAATAGTTCTCTAGATGGGTTGACACGTTGATGAGAAGTAGCAGAAGTGCAAAATACCCTCACCCCCCTCCCGTCAACATGTTGCCACGGCTTTTTATATAAGGTCATCTCATACAAAAACGTGGAGTCTTGCTGATAAAGGGGTGGCAGGAAAGTGGAGGGGCTCAAGCTGCGGGCTCACATATCGTTTAGAAGCTGATATTCTTCAAAACCGTTCTGCGAGTGCTGTAGCATGTTAGGGGGTGGACAGGGTTTGGCCGGCGCCATCAGGAGCATCACCCGATTTCCCTTTTCGTTCGGGACCTTTCACGTTTCCAAATGAGATTACCTTAAATTTGGTGTTTTTTTTCAAATCTATTTCTTAATTCAAAATCCAGGAACGCACTTTGAGATGGTATCTTTAGACTGGAGCGATCGGTGCCTAATCGTTATAAGGGGCTAAATCGGTTTGTGCGAGCGTAACAGCTCTTTGAGCAACAGGCATCGTTACGACATCAAATGTACGCCGCCAAAATCCTCTAGCAAATGGTACATGTCGTTATTGAATGAAATACGAAACTAGAATATGCAGATATATGCAAATTATGCAAATAGTTCCTCTTTTTCTCTTTTCCTGACACCATCAGATTTTACCCTCGATTCCCTTCTTTTCAAATTTTCAGGTCCCTGTTCAGCTTGGAGGGGGCATTTCGCAGTGTCGCTTGCTTCTTTTCTTAGTTCATATTAACCCAGTACTGGTCAGACCTATAAATCCCTGTGAAGTTGCAAAATGTTTGAGTGAGCCTTCTTAGCCACAGCAATTCACTGGTCTTCGCAAAGTGACCCATACACGCTCAGATTTTCGGTGCCCCACCAAACCGAATTAAGCTAAAATTCAGTTTTGGGCTGGCGTTCAAAGGACCCATGGGCAAAACAGAGCTTTTATCATGATGGATTTTGCGGGAACCTTTTTTTATGTTCAAGGAAAAACTTGGCCTCCAGCAGCTGAATAAAAAACTTGTTGATTCCTTAAAAGCGTATAAGAGGATAAAAAGTATATGTAGCGAGTGCGCCACGGATTTTGTCTATTATCGCAGAGGCACTTGGAATGGCGTTATGCGATTAACATATTCATTTTCACATTTGCGGATGGAGGTTGTTCATTCGTCTGCCTCTACAGCGTATGGCCCTGCGGTCCATTCGGCCCATGGATCCACTTGTTTCGAAGCTTAGAACGTATCGGACGATTTCACCAACCTGCGGCCAATAAGTCCAATAATTTACTTGCTTATGCCGGTTGATTTTCGCGTACTAGACCCACTGGGACAAGAATAGCGACGGCGTTGCGCACTAGCTTGACCCCACAAAAAATTCATTGAATTGAACCACCAAAGCATTCCAAAATGCCCACTTACCAATCCTTACGGAAGAAGAAATACATGGCGCGTTCTTGAAATGGTTTCAACCGGCTGAGAGTTCTACTCAATTAATCCTATCATTTCAAAAACCTTACCAAATAAGCTGTGAAACTAGGTTGAACAGAGTGTAATATCGTCGGGAAAAATTTTTTGCGGAAATAGGCCTCATTCCTCCAAAATTTTCTTTTTTGATACTCGACCTCACTCAATTATGTCCTTACCCTACCTACCACAACTTAGGATTTACCGCATCTCTTGAAATTACTATGCTTTCTTTTTACCCGGGCATGTCGGAGCGAAGAGGTACAGAGCTGCCGACCATAAGTTAAGGAGGAAAAGGGGCGGAGGAGGATTTATATTAGCGCACCTGAAACAGGAAAAATCGAGAAAAGTCAGCTACAAAAATTATTTGTGGAGGCAAATACGACACCCTCCCGCCAGCGACCACATGCGTTCTCCTTCCGCTGGGGATCCCAAAGTACGACTGCTTGCTTTTTTTTGTTTTTTTCTTTGTTGTTGGTTTCCGTGCGCTCTTTAACTCAACTCCACGCTACATCGGTGGAAGAATTTGACGGTATTGGCCCCTAACTCTGGTTTTTTCTTCACCAAGGGGGGACAGGCTTTCAATCCACTGCGTTGACCCTTAAGAGGTCCACAATCGGTCGTAGGGATTTTCAAATTGACAATCGGCCTGCCTTCTTGAGTGTATTTGTTCAAACTTGGGACCCGCTCGACAAACACCACTGTGATTAACCGTGCGGGTGTTGCGCAATCGTGCACCGCCTCCTCATTCCTATGCTCACCACACGGGCCGTTCAAACTTGACCTCTTGTTATACCCCCGGATTGATGGGCCAGGGTTGTTCCGAGCGAGAGCGTCCAATTGTTGCCGCATGGCCACCCTCCGGGTGGTCGCTCTATTTGGGCCCCCGTCGACCATCTGGGGCCAGTTGGTCCTGACTTTTCGCTACTCTAATCCTCCCAATGAAGCTAGTAATTTCAGGCAGTGTCATTTTGGGAGTTATTATGGAAAACCTGGGAGTTCGTTCTATGCCTACTGACACCCGGGTTCCCTTCGAGATAGAGGGGTCGTCCAACTGGTTATAGCTTTCCGTGGATCCCAGGCCGTGGCGAGTTAAATTCTTTGCAGTTGCCAGGAGCCCAGTCCGTACTTATTTCTGACCCTCAGGTCCCAAATTTTACAAGCTAGAGACTATCAGATTTTTGATTACTCACAGTTCTTTATGCGTGGAAGGAAAGTCCTATCGCCCAGTTCTTTACCCCTCATACGTCTAATTTTCAGATGAGTGACAGCTCCTCCCCAGTTCCTTCTGTGTCGTGTGACGAATCAGTGGACAGAGAAGAAGAATCGTCTGTTTCCTCACCCCCTTCTTCCGTACTTCCTCTTCCGGGAGATCGTTCCTCCGCGCTCGGAAATGGGGGCAATTGAGAGCTTAAAATCCGCTTTTTCGCACGATCAACCCGCCTGGGGCCCCATGTTCAATTGCAGCAACGGCTTATTAGCCGATTTGCCTCAAGAATTTTGGGAACTGCCTCAACCTTGAGGTATTGAGCCTTTCCACCACCTTTTGAAAAGCCGCAGTCAATGAATTAACACTTACATATTTTCAGGGGTGCTTCCTCCGAGCCGTGTTCCGCTGCAGAGGAAACCTCACCTACGAAACCGCTCGAACGAAGGAGAGGTGAAAAAGAGGTTCGTAGAGCTCTGCGATGTGGCCGCTCTATTTACTTTTAATTTTCAAACTTTCAATTTGTCTAACTTGATGCGTCTCTTATGTCTGATACACCTCAGTAGACTTAAATGTTGTTGGCCGGGCACTGGGAATCGGGGGCTCTCGAGTAGGGTCCTGTTTACTCTGCAATACATCAGGCAGCTTTTTTTCGCTGTCGCCTTGTTCAGCTGACTGTTGTTGATTTTAACAGCACTCTTTTTTGGGCTAAATGTGATATAGTACTGTTAGAGAGCATACTTGTTTCTGTTCTTGATCACAGGCTTCTTTATAATAAGCAGAGATGGTGCAGCGGTAAGTGGCGCCGCTTACCACGCACGCGATCCATGGGTTAAATCCCTGGCTGGATCCCCTCTGGGCAGTCGTTACCTCTTTGGGGACGCTTAACATGAGAGCATAAACTCTCTGATTGTTTTGTAGATGCTCCCACAAGTCCAAATGCCTCAGCGATTCTGGAATGAAGTGGAATGCGCGGTGTATCCCAGTGAGGGACATATCAAGACCACAAGCATAGGGCGTTATCCTCTTACTACTTATGATAAACTTCGTAGGGGTGAAGTCGTAAGCCTGTCCACTAAGGGCTTATCTTTCGTTAGAGAGTCCCCAAGAGAAGGGGGAGGGTTCGTATTTGGCCCAGGATTTCCACGCTGTATGCCCAGTTCAAGTCGGCACCATCGCAAGACTACTATTTCTGATAGTTGACCGGATGTACACCTCCCCCCTTGCCTGGAAAACTTGGTAAGGCAGTCGGGTAGGTTGTGAGAGGAGATAGTATCGGGCGAACAAAACGGGGAGGGGGGAGTCATACTTGGCAAAAGCCGTCCTTAGCGGTGAGTCGTTCTCTAGTTCATTACTCTTGGGACTACAAATATGTTTCAGGCTGACTACTACGAGAGAAGGCGGAAGAACAACGACTCTGCTCGGCGTTCCCGCGAAGTTCGGCGACTAAGAGAAGCGGCCAATCGACAGCAAGTTGAAGTATACTTTTGGATTCTCAGTTTATTAAACCTACAAAGAAATCCAAACAGAATACCTGGGCAAACCTGTAGAGTGTATTTAGGCGCAGTTTAGGAGAGTCCCGCCATGAAAAGTGTATGCAATAATGAAGAGATGTTCATGGGAGATAGTGGGCTGTGGTAGCTGACTACCATTCGATGCCCCCATCAAGCCGTACTGCGCCAAAATTACCTCCAAGCATTATCCCTGAACTGGGTCTAAATAAAGCTTCAAAAGGTTCGTTATAGAAGCATGGCACAATTAGGGCGCTTCTCAACCTATATGTTCAAAGGGATTTATAAAATGACGCGTTATATCATCGCTGCAGGGCCCTTCCGCAAATTATAGCTCAAATTTTACTTAATTACATTTTATTTATTTGCTGCACTCTGGGTGCGCTCAAAACTGACAGGGCAGTAAATATTGTTAGTAGCAACTCAACCGTAATTGAAAAAAAGAAAAAGCAAAATAAAACAAACCAAAAAATAAGCAATCTACGGCGGAGAAACTCAAAAACTACAGCTCAAGAACGCAAACCCAAAAACTCAACCATAACCTCAAAAAAACGCGTAGAACCAGTAGACCCAACACGCTAGAACCCACTTGCCTACCCTTGCGGCGAACCGTAAACCTTATGCTGAATCACTAGTTAAAGCAGGAAAGAGGAAATAAAAAATAAAAATGGTGTTTAGGCTTTAAAAACGACAAACGTACATTACGTGCCCAAATCGCTATGCTTCGACTGGAAGTCAGTCAACTCTCACTGGTGCTAATGGCCGAAGGAGCAAAGTCGCTCTTATGATTTCCAAGGATTGGGTTCCTTGTTTGGCCTTGTTTGCAGACGATCGAGTTCCGGTCGTCACTCTCAGGATGTCTTTTCGAAGCAATTCTTCGTTTTTTTTTTCAGTACATTGCATTGAACTTTTTTTTGAATATATGAAATTTTTTCGTAATTCGTGCAGTTTTTTGTTCTTCTCAAGAAGAGGTTGTCATTTGACAGATGGCAGCGTTACTTTTAGAGCCCTTGAACATAGTAGATTAGCGAGTCAGTGTTGCGGAAGAAATGAATGCCATTCGCGGCCCCTTGACCCCAACAGTCTGTTGCGCAACGGGCAATCCATCGGTCTGCGTAAGTCAACTGTTATAGGTCTGCGCCGAGAAAAAACCTGTAACCGTTCAGTTTCCAATGATGTGTACGATAAGTAGTACCAGTTGAACAAAAGGATAAAGTATTTCCCGTTGATCAATTCCTTCCGGGATGCGGCATTCTACTTCCATTCAGAATCGTAGTGCCTTATTGAATGCGATGTGGCCTATACAATGACTTGCGGGGCCAGCCGATGTACAAGTCAGTGTTCTTATCCTCCCAGACGAATCTGGTACCAATTTACCGTCCCCGGAAGGTTGAAGGCCTTGGTTGGCCTGGGCGGGACCTATCCATGATTTGACCCCCGGAGTGCGCGTGGGGTGAGCGTGCCTATTACCACTACACCACCACCGTAAAATAGTAAAATACATGTATCCATCCAAAAAATGTGGGCGTGGACCCCTGAGAAACCTTCATATATTGTTCATAGGATGTCACAGGAATGCTAAGTTATGGGGAAAGTCAGGCCCCGAATCTGCACCTCACGCCTCCCGGGTGGGGTTATGCGCGGGGCCACACACACAGTTGCGTAAACCTCATTGACCGACCTATCATTCCTCTTAACCGTCTTGGAAAATAAGGGACCACGAATGAGCAAGGCCTAGTGGCTGACTGTCCCCGCCCATATGAAGAAGCGTGGACTGTGACTTTAAGGTGGCGCACAATAATACGTGATGTATGACAAATTCATTCAAACATTTATTAAGTCCATCAAACAACAAAAACCTCGATAACTTCTATTAACTAACAAAGTATGAATTTTTGGGTAAGTATGTTTGAGTAAAACATGTATCAGAGCATGGGATGGTCATGGGACGTTGCTCTTCGATGGCTGTACGGTTTCCGCAGATTTTGGCGACTTCTCCGACATCGAGCTCACTACAGTCTTGTCCTCGACCGATCTTTCATTTGCCTTCACGATCTGAATTCCAGTGAGGTAATTAATGTTGCGCCAAGGTGAGGAGCAAACCAGTAGTTCCGTATCGCAGTGACGCGGAAATACAAGCAGCGTAGGCCTCAGTAAGATGACTTGCATACTGCAGGACTGCATTTGTTGATTGGATTGGGTTCTGGTGCGAATGCCGCCCAATGCGCGCTGCCGCTCCGCTGCTCCTACCACACATGGAACTACATAACTATTCACGTCTACAAGGCATACTCCTTATCCCTGAGCCAGAGTAGGCGTGGCATTTGAACATGGCACGGAACTGGTTACTCGTGGAATATTCCAGTCTGGGACAACTGTCATCTTGTTCTGGTTGGACAGAGACACGACAACAATTGTGTCAAGATGAAAATATCTCACCAGAAGCATAGACACCTTCAGGTTAAGTTGAAACATGCGGCCACGCCTACCCGATCTCAGGGATTTCGAGTATAACTGCTTACTTTGTCGTTTATCTCTTCTTCCACGGCCGTTCTGATGCTAAACGTTTCGGGTGAGCATTCTCGGAGGAGATCCACCTGCGATACAGCAGTGCCATCATCTTGCGCAAAAGCGAAACCGTCTGAAAATTAATGGGTTCCATCATGAAACGGACGGTCTCGAAGAGTTCAGAAAAAGAAAACTTACATCTGTTACTTTCTAGTTCGCCGTAAGTTTTCAAGCCGACAATGTCGCACATTTTGAAAATTGGCTGATAAAGTATGTCAAATTTTGAACCGCGAATTCCTTCTTGCCAAAGCATAGCATCATGCATGTCTGCACGTAATGCACGACGGAATCTAGGTAGAAACGTTAGAGAAGGGCTGGGAAGAGGGCCCTTCGGCTTGATAGGGGCACCGAATAGTACACAGCAAAGTTTGGTCAGGCCCTTGTACAGACCGGCGGACTGCTGTAGCTAAAAAGGCTCATTTGTACCGCTTCGCAGCTTCACAGGTGTTTGCAGGTCTCATCGAAGTTAGACCCATTAGTTCAGATGAAGTGGAACTGCGCAGGTGGAACTAGCGAAGGCGCGGAATGCCCCCCCTCCCTCCCCCGTCCCCACTGAAGCGCGAAGTGCGCCATTTTCGCTGCTGAGATTAGTTACCGCCCTCTGAATTCGGGGCAGAAAGCGCGAGGGCTGGTGCTGGGACAGTTAGCCCCTTAAGCCGTAGAGCGCCAGGGTTTGGTACTGGGAGTAGTCAAGAAATAGATTAGCGATGGAAACATGGGGTGAGGCGCTTGATATCGGAATGGGCGGAGCTAGCGGGGTACAGCTCCTCTAGGAGAAGCGTAGTGTCATAACTGGTCTTCACTGGGGAGGGGCGCTCACATCTCCCTCAAAGCCGAACTTTTCTGAGAGACGAGAAAAGTTTTTTGGTTGTAGATTTTCCCTGTTTCATGTGGACTGCATGCACCCCTCCAGTTCAGTTGGCAGCGCCGCAATACTACCATATAACTACCGAGTTCAATAATTGATTCTAGCAATTGCTTGGGGAGGACCCTCACCCTTCTAACCGTTTGATGTCACGCTTGAAAAAACTAATGACATGTTGGCGAATGGTGAGTGGGTACGCTGCAAATTTGGGTACTTGAACGGCCATGCTCCGAAGGCTCTGAGGGGTGGGATAGGATGAGCCTGAGGTCGCACCACCAATGGTGGATGCCCGAAGGGTCGAGGAAAAAGTGAAAAGGAAAGGAGGGAAAAAGACCTAACTCACACTTTTATGGCTATGTCAGGCAAAAGTGTTACGACAGCGACCAAGACGATGACGAAAATGAGAGCACTGAGCGGAATCATAAACAGCATTCCTCCAAGGAATCGTGGGATGAGAGGAACGTACTAAATTTTGAAAGCTGAATGACCTACACATTCCCTGTAAGGATATGAGCTCGACCGACTTACGTAGTTGAGGAATGTGTTGAAAATCACCCAAATTACTAACAACGACATTGAGAAGATGCCTGTAGCGACTGAAAGCTGAAAGTAAAGAGGTGCTGTTTTGAACTAGTGGCAAATAAGCCCATAGCTTCACAGTATTGGTGAAGCGTTCAGACATTGCTACTTCTCACTGAGCCCCTCTCCTTCCACTCCTATATGTGAAGGAAATGTTCCGAACAGCCACGGTGCACGGTAACAATCATTAAAACTGAAAAGCAGCGTAAAAGCACAGTCCATGCTCACTAACTGAGCGACGTGAATTCTACCATACTACCTAAATCATTAATGCCCTGACGAAGAGAGGTCCAGTGAGGAACACAAAACAAAAGGCGCCACTCTGAACAATGCGGGCTATGCCTCTACTACTTGACTTGAGACCTAGCGTGATTCTCTAACTGAGGTTCTGTGCTAGTCTCAAGCCTTGACGCTATCAATCTCTGCTTCGAAGACATATTCCGAACTCGGGCGCATGAGCCGAGACAGACGTTAAAGCTGCGCCCTGCTTATTACCTCGCCCTGCCACTTCTGAAGAAATACGGTAAAAAGTCAAAGGTACGGGTTATAACTGTCTTCGCCTATGCGATTAACTCGAGTATTAGACTATATCACTGCCCAAAGCCTCGCCGCTCACTGCCGATATCCAACGATATGATGACCGGCCCACTACGTTGTGAGTGTATGAAAGCTGTAAGACTACGGCTTAAAATTTGCCAGGCTGAGGGTATGGGAAGGCTGAGGGTAAAAGCGCTGTGCTGGCGCAATGAATAGCGTAGTCGCCCGCGTGGGTTGGCCGGAGTCAAGCTTTGGGTCAAGACTTTTGTCCATAGCTCAACTTTCTTGTGATGACTATACCTTTGAATACACTGACTAGTTGTGACTAGTTTGGTCAGTTAAATGTTACTACTCAAGCTCACCAAGGTGATCGGAGTTCGTTTCGAGAAGAGCCTTGAGATTCACGATGAGCACTATAGAGAAATAGATAAAAAAGCCAAATACCCACAGTGTGCTGTCCGCACCATATTCGGCATGCAGGGGGCCTAGTAAGGGAAGATCAGTAGAACGACGTGTTAGTATTGTAAAAAACGGACACAGTTCAGCTTGGAGGGGCATATTGCACATCCGCTACCTCCCACTGTCGTATCAGTGCTTTACAAGACTTGACAGGTAGCCTCTACAAGAGCTGACTAGTTGTCCCTGCAAGCTTTGACTGGTATTACTTCGTGGCTTCACAAGAATCCCCAAATCTCAACTTGATAGC